GGGGGGGGGGGGGGGGGGGGGGGGGGGGGATTCGGGGAGGCCCCCCCCCCCCCCCCGAAATGCTACCGATCGAGGACAACGTCTCTAATAATGATTTAATTTTTAATAGAGGCGCTCATCGGCCGGTCTCTCATGGCACCGGAACGTTTGTTTACTTGGCCACCTCCCACACCCCCACTGACAAGTTTTACTATGGCCTCCCAAATCTCTTTCAATATATACATCAGAAAAAAAAATCCTTGACTGATTTTCAAATGTGACGGTTTTAGTTTTTTGTCAGATGTAATCGTGCATGAACACGTGTGCATTAACTGTAGTCGGTTTTTGGATGGTTTTCATTACACCTTTTGGGATTTTAATAAATGGCTTCTGATAAATACGTCTGTGTATTACTTCGTGACCTCCTGACAGAATTGCACTCTGTTCATATCATTTTTAAACCATAAATAAACAATGATAATAACAAAAGTTTTACAAGCTCGCCAAGTGAAGTCAACCTTGGCTCAATTCACCAAACAGTAGCACTGTATTGTTACACATATTATATTTGCATTCCTCACTTAAGATCCTGGCCCCAGTGATGAGTCAGTATGACACTAAGTAAACAAAACATTTTATTTTTCGATGACATATCAGCATCAGTATACTTTCTTCAGCTCTTTCCCGACTCTAGCCTACAGTACGTGACACACATTTTTATCCTTCAAGTTATATGCTGTGCCACTCCCGCTAAGCTCTCCGTCGGAGTTTATGGAAAGTTTTACTTAATTAGGCTAAATAAATTATCGCTGATCCATTTCGCCTGACACAATACGATCTTGTACAAGGAAATGTAGGTGCTGGATTTCTCAGCTAACGTACGAGCTCGCCACGCCATGGAAGAGAGGGAGTCAGCATTCTTCCAAGGGGGAGAGGGAGGGAGAGGAAAGAATGAAGCTTTTACACTGTAAATTCCTAACACTGCCCCTGCTGCCATTCTCTCCCCGTCTCCCCCTTTTCCAGGACCTTCCTGTAACTGAGAAGGGTGATGTTACGTGAATGGGGATCATTTCTGCGCAGGGAATAATGGAACACGTAGGTGCGGGAAGAAACTCCCAGCAGGCGTTAATTAATGAATATACCGTGTCGCCTGTATGGGCTCAGGAAAAAACTGCCAAACCGCAGAATATAACATATAAAACAGTTACACTTACAACGGTGCAGCATAACATGTTGCATAAATAGGCAGACAACTGAGACTTGACCAGGAGAGGGAGTGGCGTTTTTAAAAAGGAGGGAGGTGGGAAAAAGAATTCGGCTTCCGTGTCAGGAAGAAGTGACTCAGAATTCACCTGCACCGTACCGGGGGGGACCGAGGAGAAGAGGGATAGCCTACCTGGGAAGTGCTGCCAGGCTGTGACTTTGGGACGCTTCACCTGTCCGCTCGCTCCGGTGATTTTGCGCGAAACGCGCCGCGCCGCGCTGGTCGCTGTCCGACCCGCCGGAGGAGGCGACGCACCTCTGTGGAAATACATGCGAACAGGTGAGTGATGTTGGGTGTGTATTAGACTTTTAAAATGAACCACTCACATTTTTTTGTATCTTAATTAAAAATAATGGGGGGAATTAACAGACACCTGTATTTGCCTTTGTTTAATTACGGCTCTGAGCTCCTGCGCTTCGGGATTAAAAGCGCACATATTCTGTCTAAATCGTTTCAAAGCTTGATAGCATTGTTGGTTACACTTTCTTAATCTTGGAAAGTATTATTTAAAAATATTTGTATGCGTTGAGGACAATGTAACACGTGAATTGCAGTAAAAAAAAAAAACACCAAATGGGACATTTTCACAAAACTGTCACGCGAACGCTAAGCCTGCGTGGGATAAAAGGATGTGATTTTAAGGACGTGTTCATATCGCTGAACCTTTTGTCAAGAACTAGATACTACCGGTTACCTTGTTTTCCTTTCCCCCTTCATTTTAAATGCTCCTTGGCCAGATTTGGCCAGGTTTAACTCGGAATTTTAAAGTAGAGATCAGTTTTTATCAGTTTTTATCAGTTATGTTGAAATGCAATGTTTGTGTGGGTTTCCATGCTAACAAGAGTCAGTATCTGCAGATGGAGGAAGGGCAGGGGAGGAAGTGACATGGAAGCAAATGGAAATCTCAGTGGATTTTTGTATAAAATCTGAATTCTTACCTCTCGGACAACACTGGACTTTTACTTTTTTTTAAGAGGCCGTTTTAACCTGGTGGACGCAGACGACGCTCGAAACCCCCCCCAACCCGAAACCAGAGGGGTGCCGACACCTTGCTTTCCTTGGGCAAAGCAGGTACCCGTGTCTGATCCAGTATCAGTTTCAGACAATAGTAGAGAATGTGTGGCATAAAACGTAAACTGATCTGGGTGAGGAAAAGCAGAGCAGATGACTGATTATCTCTCTTGACCTGTGGCTGTTTCAAAATGCTTATATTATCTTACGGGGTAACACTAAATGCCTGAATGAGAAAATGAACTAGAGGGAGAGAAAAACAGTGCTTTCCAGACACTGTGCATGAATATAACCACATATAACTGGAACGTTTATAGCATATAAATAAAGCTGTAACAAATCATAATTTCGTGGTGGGCATATTGGCCGGCGTCAGACACTCGTCTGTGAATGATTGACATCTGGTTGGATGTGGAGGCGTTCAGTAACGCTAACGGGGCAGGTTACTGGCTGTGCTGTCATCGTTGGATGAAGAGGAAACACTGCTGTTATCTGAATTGTTGACATAGTGGGTCGAACACTCTTCGAGTCTGTGACAAACACTGCGTAAACAGAAAGGACGGCAGCAGAGTCTGGCGAGCACGTACCTGTGCGCAGCGGGTACGCATCCGTAACAATCAGGTACGCGCACGGCACAAGGAACACAACGGAGCCATGCTAGTGACAGTTAAACAAAGCTTCACTATACATAGTAAAGAAATTATTGTTTTAAAGTGGTTTTTGGAAAATGCCTAATTAAGTTTAGTGAATATTAATTTGAGGCTTCTGAAGGTCCGTAAACTTGTAATGGCAGCTACGGACGTATAGGGGGTGTTATGCCTTCTTTCTCCAAGATGTCTATGACTGAAGGTTCCAACGAAACCAGTGCTGGCCAAAAAACAGGCCAATCAACCTCTGATTTTGTCACTTTACACTATTGACCTCCATTCCTTTATCTGATTTGCATTCCTGTGTCTCTTATGTCGTCTGCTAGAAAAGATTGCGAATTAAGATTATTCATTCGGTTGTTGAACTGGCTTTCCAACTCAAACCATAAGTTTCGTGTTTGGTTTTGAAGGGGGGTGGGTGTTGATGCTGTTTTGGCACCAAGGGGTCATGTCTGTAAAGGCATAACTGGAAAAGTAATGGAAGCTATAATCCAAGTGAAAATGATAGATTACCTGGATTCAAATAACATTCTGAGGGGTAGCCAACATGGATTTAGGAGAGAGAGGTCCTGTTTAACTAATCTATTGTTCTTTGAGGAAGCTACAAGAGAAATTGATCACAAAAAGGCCTACAGTGTGATCTACTTAGATTTCCAGAAGGCCTTTGATGTTGTCCCCCACAAACAGCTCTTGCTTAAGATCAAAGCTGCGGGGGTTTTAGAAACTGTAGCAGCTTGGATCGGACACTTCTTAATAGACAGGAAACAGCGGGTAGTTATTAGAGGCACAATGTCACAGTGGGCCTGCTTTCATAGTGGGGTACCGCAGGGTTCAATTTTAGGACCACTACTGTTCCTAATTTACATTAATGATATTGATACCAAAACAGACAGTAAACTGGTTAAATTTGCAGACGACACCAAGGTGGGTGGTGTAGCACATATTAAACTAGCAGCACAGAGGCTACAATGGGATCTTGATTTAATTAGCGACTGGGCTGATACCTGGTAGATTCAATTTAATGTAGATAAATGTAAGGTAATCCATGCAGGGAGCAGAAATATAAGGTACAGATATTTTATGGATTCCACTGAAATAAAGGTAGCTGATTATGAGAAAGACCTCGGTGTGTATGTTGATCCTTCCATGTCCCACTCACACCAGTGTGGGGAAGCAATTAAAAAGGCCAGTAGGAGTAAAGGCCACACTAGGTGTGTGGAATTTAAGTCAAGGGAGGTGATGCTACGATTATATAATTCCTTGGTAAGACCCCACCTAGAATATTGTGTGCAGGTTTGGTCACCATACCTTAAAAATACATTGCTGCCTTGGAAAAGGTTCAACGTAGGGCTACAAGAATGATTCCTGGCCTTAGAGGAATGTCTTATGAGGAGAGATTAGCTGAGCTGAATCTGTTCAGTCTCGCGCAAAGGAGACTTAGGGGGACATGATCCAGGTCTATAAGATTCTAACAGGTCTGGATGCTGTACAGCCAAATGGGTACTTCAATATTAGTTTAAATACTAGAACTTGTGGCCATAGGT